ATGTGTTAGGAAAATAACGAGTGGATGCACGAGCGCCACTGTTTGCGACACCCAGCCATATCACTCAGTGTAGCTAACCATCGGTGACCATCATCCCGAGGTCCTCAGCCAGGGAGCCCAACGGGACCTATGTGACCTAGTCTCCTGGTTAGGGTTCTCATACCCTCGTGTCAGGTCTTAGCTTGACCACTCTTCGTTTTTTCCAATCGCTACCAGCCTTGGCAAATATTGTTCGCCGTGGCAGCCTATCTGGTGACATGCGTAACACATATCCCAACCGGCGTAATCTACGAGGGTCGATCACTTGCTCCAGTGGACGACCGCGACTGCCTAAAACTCTACGCCTAACCTCTGCATTACTAGTCCGGTTACCCCACCAGACACGTACAATGCTACGTAGACAGCGGTGTTCGAACACCGACAATCTATTTTTTATCCTATTCCTTTAGTGGCCAAGTCTCTGCACCGTAGAGCAGGACTGGCCGAACTGCTGCAGCATACACTCGACCCTTCACAGACAGCCGGATGTCGCGACGGCGCCACAAATGTCTCAAGTTGGCAAATGACAATCGAGCCTTTTGTATGCGCGCCGACACTTCATCTGTGATGCGTCCGCCGGGTGAGATATAGCTGCCTAGATGGCAATATTTGTCTACTTCCTCTACTGCTTCCCCAGTTAGGGTGAGACTGGGTGCTGGATCAACCCAATCTTGTAGTAGCATTTTACACTTTGAAGGTGCAAAACGCATACCGAACATGGCAACACTAGCACTCAAACTATCCAGAAAAACTTGCAACTTACCTGGATCGTCACTTAGTAGCACAATATCGTCTGCATATTCTAGATCAAACAGTCTGCCACCCGGAAGTAAATCGATACCGCTATCCCTGCACGAGGATAGGGCTGTTTCAAGAATTAAATCTATGACAAAGTTAAATAGAAAAGGAGAGCGAGGGCAACTCGCAAACTCCACGCGAGGTGTGACATGGGAGGTGTATAGCACCTTGAAACCATTGTATGGAAGCTTGAAAAAGGAACAGCGAATAGCTCCTAGGAACTCCAAATCGAGGCGCAGGCTTTGTCTATCTGCTTCCTTGTTTTTAATGACGTGGATACCAGCACTCCGAGATCCCGTTCGCATGCAGATGCCAGTAAGGGAGTGTCCAGAAGATGGTACACTCTTGGACTGGGCTGCCGGCCGATGGACATGTGATGACATTTTGTAGGATTTTTTTGGTAACTCCCACGCTCGTGACCAGCGCTTCGAAGCATCCAGATCTCTCTGCAAGGTGTTCACGTCGCTTTCTGACTGGATAGGTTTCCAGGTTTTCAGATCATCCGCATACAACAGATATTCCGATTTTAAACAGTCTGGCAGATCATTGATGAAAAGCCGGAACAGTATTGGCCCTCGTACCGATCCTTGCGGAACGCCACTAGAAACTACTAACCATGATGACCGTACCGTGGCCGCTTGCACCGAGAATAGTTTGCCCATCAGAGAATCCTCAACCTAGGAGAGCTATTGTAGCTTGTCGATGTTTGAGCAGCTCCGTCAAACCTCATCATTGGAAATCCAATCTCCAATTTACTTTCAAGATGCGGACGTAAGCATCGATTATAAAAGACCTCGAGCTTCTTTTTATATTGCACTCTTAGTGGATACGTTTCACAACCGTAAGTGAGGATAGTGCAGATGGAAGCTTGATAAACCCAAAGCTTGGTGTTTCAGCTTATTTCACAACGGTTTAGTGACTCGATGGTTGCTGATGTTCGTCAGAACCTGTCACTAATGTTTACTCACGTCCGTTTTGAATATTCGTCCCAAATGGAAACAGAACCAGAGATTGCGTTTATTGAAAGCAATATATTCTGAGATCTTCAGAAAGGTTGGAAAGCAGATTTAGCTAGGCCTAGGCTGATATTTAAGCAACGGCAGCGGAAACCTGAAAGTAGATCTGATCAGTGCAACGAAAGCGTGCGATACAGAGCTCACCGTGGGGAATTGTATCGGTGCACGCTTTTCGAGTTCATTAAAAGAACGTTAATAGTTGAAGTAAAACTTAATCCTGGAAATGTCCAAATTGCTTTATCCAATAGAGGAACTTTCCTCAGAGTATAGCTATCGCCAGCTAATGGCGATGACTGCTAAATCTCGACGGTACACTTGATTGTGTCCGGTGGATAAGGGTCCTTAAAGGAAGAAGGGAAAAACCTGACGGTATTTTAACTTCCTGATCGATAACTCAGTCGCTACTTGATTTCTGAACCTTAATGGTTCTGATAGGTACTCCATGGTTATGTACCATGCCTTGATAGTCCTCAATTAAATAGGACTGGTTAGAAACTGAACGTATCCTGTTGTTAGTCACCAGCGTAGGGTGAAAGTACTTCTGGTACGTGATTTGATGATCACGTCCAGCTTGAATGGATCTATCAAGAAGCTTAGAGAAAACAAGAGGTAAGAAAAGAAAACTGCCGTTGCGAAACTGTCGGTTGAAGAAACGCTACATCAGCCTCCCCCTA